AGTCGAAAAGCAACGAGGAGTTACCGCCACACCAGCCAGCCACTCATTGCCACTCCCTTAACAACGCCTCACTCGCCCACTTTTTCCTCCCACCATCCTGTTTTATATTGTATTCACAATATACAGACGTTATATACCTTCTACTACCCAAAATCATTCACGTCCTCTAATTACTCAACACAAAGCTGCTATTAGGACAATATCCAACTCTGGCCCCAGACATCACTCGGTACCCCTACTCAAATCTCTGAATATGTTAGACATTAAGTCACTGCACTTTCTCTCATGTGTATTATACATATATTAAACGCTAAACTGTAATGCCAATCCTGACCTCAAAACCTTCATAGAAGGTTGTAACAGAACCCATGAGCACCACACCAGAAATAAATACAGTTTTGATATTCCTAGAGTACGACTTAATCAAACTAGAAATGCTCTACAAATCAAGGGACCCAGATTGTGGAATGACCTTCCCAACCATGTTAAAGACTGTACCTCTCTCAACCAGTTTAAGATAAAAATGAAGCTATACTTAATAAATTCCCTGTAACCTACCTTACCCCTCTATTGTCAACCAATGTTTTTTTTTTTTTTTTTTTTTTTTTTAAAAGAGCGCTGTTTGTCGACAGTATTGTATTTGTGCTGCTTTTCCAGCTATGTTTTCATTCCATGTTTTCATTTTACTCTTTATGCTCAATTAGTATTAAGCTTTAGTCATTTAAGTTTTTCATGCCCGAAACGCTTTGCGTAATAGTGGCTTTAGGCATTGTATGTACTAGCCTCAACTATAAATCCATCACTCTTTGTAAAATCTCTTATATGTATGTACCTTACCTAAATAAACATTTGATTTGATTTGATAAGAATCTACATGTTTTGCTCACCACAACTGTACAACTAAGCTGATATAGTTAGTTCAGGCACTAAGAGTCGTCGCTATACACACAGTCGGCTGGCGGCTCCCTAAATCATTCAAGGTCACACGCACTAAACTTTTTCTCCCAACAATACTGTTTGCAGTGTTATACATAATGTGTGTATATCGTGTAATAAGTATATACGTGTTGTATGCACTGTAACTGTACACCTGAGCTTGTAGAGTGCCCAAAGAGCATAGTAGCCTCCCTCTGCACAGCCAGACAAATCATGCAGACAACGTCACCTCCGTCACCCAAATTGCTCCTCCCAGCATAATCCTTTTACTGTTATTACATTAATACACACATTATATATAAGTATCTACATTTGTGTTCACCATAGAGAACCACTGAGCTGGTATGGTGAATGCAGACTATAACAGGTGACCACACAGTCAGTAAACGATGCAATCTCCCTCCGTCCCTCAGCATCACTCCTCCCACAGTGCTAATTATCACAACCCTGATTATTTATATCACAGTCAGGGGGTCATCTGTAATATTGTCATCGCTAAATAATAGCAATTACATATTTATTTTGACATTTTTCGGAGATGCTGTGGTCACAAGCTGAACAGCAATGCTGCTTGCTCATGCTGCGTGCGCCAACCTTGGTTGCTCCAACAGTACTGTGCCTCTCAATCCTGAGAATATTGCCCACAATTTAAAATAAAAATGGCATCTGTTTACAAGAGCCCTGAGGAAGCTAATGTGAACCCTGTGTAGCCGTGGGCCATTTGAATCGTGCCTGGCACCCTATGGCGTATATGTACTCCATGCGCACCGTGGGACATGGTACTCATGGCGTATATATACGTCATGCGCAGTTTAATGGTTAAAAGCGTCTGTTTACAAGAGCCCTGAAGAAGCTGATGTGAACCCCTATATAGGTGTGGGCATTTTGAATTGTACGCTATACCTATAGGATCCCCCCCTGAGGCGCGTTGCGCACCTCCCATCAAGAGCCTCAAGGCACGTTGCGCAGTGCAGTGGTTAACAATAACTTTTCAACCTCCTCAAGTGTTTGTATTTTTTGTTTTGTCATTGTTGTTATGCTTTTTGCCACTTTAGCATGCAAAATTTCCTTTTTTCCTTGCAATTACGGAGCATATCGTTCAGATAATTTTGTTTTACAGTCTAGTAAGTTCAGCAGCCCGCACACCATTTTTGTTTACGAATTATCTTTTTATATTCTCTATGGTCATACTCGTATTTTTCTTAGGTTAAACTTTACCACTGACTTTCTTGGGACCCATGGCATGATATATAATAATTACTTTTATGTTCAGAAACTAAAAAAAAGGCCCAAAAAAATGAAATTCTTCTTAACCCTTAAAGTGCGCATCACGTCATACGACGTGTTGGACATTGTTCCAGTCAACTGCGCATCACGTCATATGACGTGTTGGAGTACTACGCAAGATTTAAACGGCCTGCGGATACACGGGGTTCACCACACCTTCATCAGGTCTCTTGTAAACAGACGCCATTTTTAAAAAAAATCGTGGTCCAAACTCCCAGGTGTTATTGGCCTCGGTATTGAGTGAGCTACCAAGCCTGATGCACGCAGCATGAGCTAACAGCACTGCTGTTCAGCTTGTGACCACAGCATCGCCTAAAAATGCCAAAATATACTTGTTCATGCTATTATGTAGCGATGATAATATTACAGAAGACCCCTGACTGATAAAACTGACCAGGGTTCTGATAATAGCAGGATTGTGGTGATACTTAGTGCTGTGCGCCATGGAGGGAGGAGTAATGCTGTGGGAGGGAGGGTGGTGGCGATGTCTTCTGACTGTGTGGCCACCTTTTATTGGCTGCACTCACCATACCAGCTTAGTGGTTGGCTACGGTGAACACAAATGTAGATACTTATATATAACGTGTGTATAGAGGGTATAAACAGCAAGAGAAGGTTGGGAGCCGCCATTTTGGTGAGGGCGGTGGCGTCGTCTGCACGACGCCACCGTGTAGACGACGGTGTTGTTTACTAGTTACCACGATGCTACCTTTACTTTGGGCACCATACCAGTTTATTTGTACAAGTATGGTGAATAAAACAGGTAGATATTTATATATAATGTGTGTATATAGCATAATAACACCACACAGTATTGTTGGAGGAGAAATATTAGTGCGTCTGGCCTTGAGGGTGGCAGCCATCAGCTGACTGTGTGAGGTCCTACGTCTTTGTGCCTTTACTCACCATACAAGCTTAGATGTAGTTATGGTGAACAAAACATGTAGATACTTATATATAACAGCTGTATATAGTGATTTATAGCAAAAACAGTATTGTGGGAGGAGAATGTGGGTGAATCAGATGACTTGAGGGAAGGCGGGAGTGGCTGGCTGGTACACGGTGGTCACTCGTCGTTACTTTTTGACTCGTAATAGCTACTTAGTGGTTCGTTATAGTGAACAAAACATGCAGATACTTATATATAACCTGTGCTTATAGTGTAATAACCGACAAAGTATTTGTTCACTGATTGATGAACATAATTGAATCAACAATATGCACACCATATTTTTGAGTACAGCAATGATTCACTCATTTTATTATATAAATATATCAAACTACACACTATTGAATAATATTACAGCAAAAAAACTATGAAAAATCAATCAGAGACAGTGAAATAATTAGGTAATTATCTCTTTGTGGCAACTCTGGCCTGACAGCTGGCGAGCAACAGACCGCCTGGGACGCACGCTGAGTCAGCTCCTGTTTTTTGGTAGACTTCCCCGCCCTATAGCGGGCAATATATGCCACTTACGATTTTTTTATTATTTTTCCCGTGATCAGTGAACACAAGTTAACAGGTTAGGAAGAAATTTTTTTTTTTTTTTTTTCAAAATTACATGCGCGTGTGAGAAAGAAAGGATATTATACCCCTAGCATGTTAAGGGTTAATGAATTAAAGTGAAGTCATCACCTTGGCAGGATGCTGGTAATCTGAGGTGGGCCACACAAGAAAGCCATGTGCTTGGTGCACCCTTTTGTGTATAAACAAACAACCCCTTAGGCAAACTACTACTATCGACTCTAGACATTACTACGTGAACCGAGAACTTCACGAACGGGACATACGAGAACTGAAGTTCCACTGTACTAGTTTGGAGAGTTCTTTAGGTGGTTCTCAAGGCTAGTCATATATGAAGCCAGTAGTGGTTTTTATTTTGACAACTTTCTGGGTGCATTTCCTTGTGGGTGGCATAAATAAGTAACTGAATACATGAATGCCACTGCTCTACACCTCTGTAAGGGGTGGGGGAGGGCCTAACAAGTTCGGGCTTGGGTCCCCGGTAGGCTAGTAGAACTTGGCAACTAGTCCCACAGTATGAGAGAGTAACTTGGAGCCACAAGGGTCTTCCCCAAGAACATGGACTGTTGTAACCCAGAACGTTTGTATTATTGGATTAGCCCAAATTATTTAATAATTGTTAACAGGTAGTGTTGTTTAGTTACTTTATGTCCCAGTATTCCTAGGCCTAATACAGGGCATCTCGGGCCTATGAGTACATATGCTGTAGTAGGGATATGAATGTTTGTTTGGTTTTAGCTTAGTTTGTCATGCTTTTTAAAAATGAATAGGACAAAATGTTAATTTTTGAACATTCGACCAAATATTTGCTATAAATACAGTCCTATCATCATTTTATGATGGGAAGATTTTTACTGGTGCATAGTTATTCAAGAGGGCCAGTGCCTTACAAGAAGCTCTCAAATGATGCTTTGATGTGACAGGACTCGATAAGGCTCAACACAATTTCATGAATTAGCAATACAAAATAGAATTTGGAGAAGATGAAAGCATCTGTTAATTGCTTTTAATTGAATAGGAAACTGCAAATCCTTTTGGTTTGATCTATGGATAATCAATAATGTAATTGCAGTACAATAGATGATGTAGGTTGGTGTATGAGATATAAAATAAATGAATGTTGCTAAAAGTTACTAGGAAAGCTACTTAGAAATACCAGTGTAAATTCCTAAAGTTTTGAAAACTGGAAAATGTGTTTACAGTTGTAGTGTATTGTGTACATAAACAGAAAATGTAATTCCTATTGCAGGGAGAGTACACTCTGGAGGGAAAGAAGCTACCGCAGTCTCTCTTCGAGATGGTCATGGCCACCAACACTCCCCATACCACTAATGCAAACAATGTTATAGCCTTCTCTGACAATTCAAGGTGAGTATTAGGTTAGAGCAATCCATTGTTGGTATGGACTTATTGATGTGGTAAGAAAATGCTTTAGATAATGCTTTCTCAGACTTGATACTGAAGAAGGTGCCTTGCTTAATTTTCCCATGACTTTTGCTCTGAGAAAACACAGTGGGCTTTGCATCCTCAGATTATTAGAATTTGGTGATGGCATTGTAATTTGGATATTTTATTTGAGCTGGCCTTAGCTGCTTGATGGGGTTCTGGGAGTTTTTACTCCCTAAGCCCAGTCCGAGGCCAGGCTTAACTTGAGAGTTTGGTCCACCAGGCTGTTGCTTGGAGCAGCCTGGAGGTCCACATACCCACCACAGCCTGGTTGGTCCGGCACTCATTCTTACATATAATTTGTATACAATTTTTGTATTTTCCAGATGAAGATCTCGGTCAAAAGTATTGTTGTTGTTTGTTTTTATTTTTTATTGTTGTTCCAGACATTCCTCAAATATAAATTAGTTAAGCTTTAACCCCTGGGCTGCATCACTGATTATACCATGCAACACTCATGTGTGCATAAAAAAAAATATCCTTTAACCCTTAAATTGCGCATCGCATCATATGATGCTTTGGAGTACTATGCAAGATTTAAACGGCCCGCGGATACATGGGGGTTCACCACACCTTCATCAGGGCTCTTGTAAACAGATGCCATTTAAAAAAAAAATAGTGGGCCAAATTCCCAGGTGTTAGGAGCCTCAGTATTGAGTGAGCTACCAAGCCTGATACATGCAGCATGAACTCTCAGCACTGCTGTTCAGCTTGACCACAGCATTGCCTAAAAATGCCATAATATACTTGTTCATGCTGTTGTGTAGTGATGATGTTATTACAGAAGACCCCTGACTGATACAACTGACCAGGGTTCTGATAATAGCAGGATTGTGGTGATATTTACCGCTGTGCTCCATGGAGGTAGGAGTAATGCTGTGGGAGGGGAGGGTAGTGGCGTTGTCTTCTGACTGTGTGTGGCCACCTTTTATTGTCTGCACTCAGCATACCAGCTTAGTAATTACCTAAGTGTAATTACCTAAGTGTAGTTACAGGATGAGAGCTATGCTCGTGGTGTCCCGTCTTCCCAGCACTCTGTCATATAACGCTTTGAAACAACTGACGGTCTTGGCCTCCACCACCTTCTCCCCTAACTTGTTCCAACCGTCTACCACTCTGTTTGCGAAAGTGAATTTTCTTATATTTCTTCGGCATCTGTGTTTAGCTAGTTTATATCTATGACCTCTTGTTCTTAAAGTTCCAGGTCTCGGGAAATCTTCCCTATCGATTTTATCAATTCCTGTTACTATTTTATATGTAGTGATCATATCGCCTCTTTTTCTTCTGTCTTCTAGTTTTGGCATATTTAATGCCTCTAACCTCTCCTCGTAGCTCTTGTCCTTCAGTTCTGGGAGCCACTTAGTAGCATGTCTTTGCACCTTTTCCAGTTTGTTGATGTGCTTCTTAAGATATGGGCACCACACAACTGCTGCATATTCTAGCTTTGGCCTAACAAAAGTCGTGAACAATTTCTTTAGTATATCGCCATCCATGTATTTAAAAGCAATTCTGAAGTTAGAAAGCGTGGCATAGGCTCCTCGCACAATATTCTTTGTGGTCCTCAGGTGATAGTTTTCTATCTAGAACCACCCCTAGATCTCTCTTTTTATCAGAATTCTTTAAAGATTTCTCACATAATATATAGGTTGTGTGGGGTCTATGTTCTCCTATTCCACATTCCATAACATGACATTTATTAACATTAAATTCCATTTGCCAAGTGGTGCTCCATATACTTATTTTGTCCAGGTCTTCTTGAAGGGCATGACAATCATCTAAATTTCTTATCCTTCCTATTATCTTAGCATCATCAGCAAAGATGTTCATATAATTCTGTATACCAACTGGTAGATCATTTATGTACACAATAAACATCACTGGTGCAAGAACTGATACATTGCCCTGTGGTACTCTTTTTAGGTCCAGATAGATGCAGTCAACCCAACCATCTCTTTCCTGTAATATCTCTGTGGCTCGATCATAGAAACTGAGTAAATTCGATACACAGGATCTTCCAGATCGAAAACCATACTGTCTGTCTGATATTATATCATTTCTCTCCAGGTGTTCTACCCATTTAGTTTTGATTCGTTTTTTCCAATACTTTCAATATTACACTTGTCAATGATACAGGTCTATAATTGACGGGGTCTTCCCTGCTTCCACTTTTGTAGATTGGAACTATGTTAGCCTGTTTCCACATGTCTGCTACGATTCCTGTACACAGGGATGCCTGAAAGATCAGGTGAAGTGGAATGCTGAGCTCAGATGCACATTCTCTCAGAACCCATGGTGAAACGCCATCTGGGCCAGCTGCTTTGTTCTTATTTAGCTCCTTGAGCATATTTTCCACTTCATCTCTAGACACCTCTATCCGCTCTGTTGTTCTCTGGAATTCTTATTGTGTCTGGTTCTCTGAAGATTTCATTTTGTACAAACACACTTTGGAACTTTTCATTTAATGTTTCACACATTTCCTTTTCATTTTCCGTGAATCTGTTTCCCATTTTCAACCTCTGGATATTATCCTTTACCTGCAATTTGTTGTTTATGAATTTGTAGAATAGTCCCGGGTCTGTTTTACATTTATCCGCTATCCCTTTTTCAAAATTTCTTTCTGCCTCTCTCCTTACAGCCGTATAGTTGTTTCTCGCATCTTTGTATCGCTGGTATGTTTGGAGGTTTGGCCTCTTCCTATACTGATTCCATTTGTGTCTTTTGGTCTCTGGCCCTCTCACAATTTCTGTCGAACCAATCCTGTTTTCTGGCCCTGCATCTCTGTTTTGGTATGAATGTTTGTGTGCCTTCCTCGTATATTTTTAAAAATTTGGCATACATTTCATTTACTTCCCTGCCTAGCAACAATTCTGTCCAATTAAACTCGTTAAAATTTTTTTCGAAGTTCCCCATAGTGACCTCTCCTTAAATCGAGTTTATCAACGGTTTCAATGTCCCCATTTTCTTCTAGATGATATCTTAAAGCATAATCAATGCCTAACAGGACGTGATCACTCTTTCCCAAGGGAGGAAGGTACTGGATGTCAAATATATCTTCTTCTTTCCTGGTGAATACTAGATCCAGTACTGATGGTACATCTCCTTCCCTCATTCTTGTGGCCTGCTTTGTGTGTTGATACAAGAATGTCTCCAGAATGAGGTTCACAAATCTGCATGTCCAAAAGTCTTCCGTTCTTGCTTCATAGGCCTCCCACTCTATTGCTTTAATGTTGAAGTCCCACAGTATCAACAGTCGTGATTTATCTTTATCTGCTTGTACAATAATATCTCTCTGATGACCCTTATGAGGCCCTCTCGTTTGTCATCCAGTTCTTCCTTTGTCCATGTGTTGCTTGCTGGTGGGCTGTAGGCATTTAAAATTATCAGCTTATCATCCTGATTCCAGATTTGCAATGCCATTATGTCAATATCTCGAGTGTTTTCAAATATTACCTCTCTTACCTTCAGGTGTTTTTTCACCAGTACAGCAACTCCTCCTCCCTTCCTAGTTTTCCTGTAACGTCTCCAAACTGAATAGCCTCTTGGGAATATGACTTCATTTATTATATTTCCTTCAAGTTTTGTCTCTGATAATGCGACAATATCTGGGACACTAAGCTGGATTATATCTTGCAACTCCAAAGTTTTTGACCTCACTCCATCTATGTTGGTATATACAATTTTCAGGAACATGTTCCCTTTTCCTTTGCTCTTTACTCCCCCTTCCATTACTGATCATGTTGCTTTGTTTTTATGTACCATTTCGCAAGCTTTCCCGTCCCCGTCACTTTGTAGAAAAAAAAAATTTGTCTTCTTCATTTCTATCCCCATTTAGACGTTTTGCCTCAATTAGGTTCATTTTCAGTTTTTCTCCGTCTTCCTTGGAGAGGTTTTGTCTTATTGACCAAAGTTTGCCAACCTCATCACTCTGCAATTTCCTGGCATTTCTTAGCACTTCCATCATGTTTTTCACTCCATTAAACGTCACCCTTAAGGGGCGGTACTTGTCTTTCTTATATTTTCCAATTCTTCTAAAATTACTGACATTTTCCTTTGAGCCTTCTCCTAAACCTACTATTTTCTCTATGATTTTCATCTCTTCTGCCGCTCGGTCCACCCTAGATGAAATTTCCTTCTCTAAACATCCAAAAATGATTATGGACTTAGTTCAATCTGCAGTGTTTTGTACCAGTTTAATGTTGGTAACCAGTTCTTTCCTAATTGCTTGCCTAATTTCTGCTTCTTGTTTGTTGGTTCTGGTTTTGACTTCCGAACACACTTCTTTGATAGTCTCTTTCTCTTTTACAACTTGAGCATATGTCGCTTTTATTTCTTCTTTATACTTTTCTAGTTCTTTATTCACCTCTATGTGAGTTGTCAGTGAAGTTTCCCGTTGGAGATCCTTACCTAACTCTATGTTAGCCCTTAGGCTTGCTTGGAGTTGTTCACCATATGAGTCTATTTTCTTGTTTATTTCTTCAAAGTCACCACACTTCACTTTCCATGCCTCATTTTCTTTCACTAGTTCCTTGATTTGCTCCTCCTGATTTGTTACCTTGTCTGTTAATGCAGTAATAATCTTACCTTGCTGAAGAATACTCCCTTTTAGAGTGCAAAGCTCACTCCTAAGAGCTCCATTGTCCTCTTCCAATTTAAGCATTATTTCTTCATACTTCTTTTGCATATCCTCAATTATCTCTAACCTGCCAAGAACACCTCCTTTCCTTATATCTTGTGGTGAGAATCCTTTGAAACCACAAGTGTGTGTGTAATTACCTAAGTGTAATTACCTAAGTGTAGTTACAGGATGAGAGCTACGCTCGTGGTGTCCCGTCTTCCCAGCACTCTTTGTCATATAACGCTTTGAAACTACTGACGGTCTTGGCCTCCACCACCTTCTCACTTAACTTGTTCCAACCGTCTACCACTCTATTTGCGAAGGTGAATTTTCTTATATTTCTTCGGCATCTGTGTTTAGCTAGTTTAAATCTATGACCTCTTGTTCTTGAAATTCCAGGTCTCAGGAAGTCTTCCCTGTCGATTTTATCAATTCCTGTTACTATTTTGTATGTAGTGATCATATCACCTCTTCTGTCTTCTAGTTTTGGCATATTTAATGTTTCTAACCTCTCCTCGTAGCTCTTGCCCTTCAGTTCTGGGAGCCACTTAGTAGCATGTCTTTGCACCTTTTCCAGTTTGTTGATGTGCTTCTTAAGATATGGGCACCACACAACAGCTGCATATTCTAGCTTTGGCCTAACAAAAGTCATGAACAATTTCTTTAGTATATCGCCATCCATGTATTTAAATGCAATTCTGAAGTTAGAAAGCATAGCATAGGCTCCTTGCACAATATTCTTTATGTGGTCCTCAGGTGATAGTTTTCTATCTAGAACCACTCCTAGATCTCTTTCTTTATCAGAATTCTTTAAAGATTTCTCACATAATATATAGGTTGTGTGGGTCTATGTTCTATTCTATGTTCTATAGACGGTGGGGTCTATTCCACATTCCATAACATGACATTTATTGACATTAAATTCCATTTGCCAAGTGGTGCTCCATATACTTATTTTGTCCAGGTCTTCTTGAAGGGCATGACAGTCATCTAAATTTCTTATCCTTCCTATTATCTTAGCATCATCAGCAAACATGTTCATATAATTCTGTATACCAACTGGTAGATCATTTATGTACACAATAAACATCACTGGTGCAAGAACTGAACCCTGTGGTACTCCACTTGTGACATTTCTCCATTCCGATACATTGCCTCTAATTACTGCCCTCATTTTTCTATCAGTCAGAAAATTTTTCATCCATTATAGAAGCTTACCTGTCACCCCTCCAATATTTTCCAGTTTCCAGAACAACCTCTTATGTGGAACTCTGTCGAAAGCCTTTTTTAGGTCCAGATAGATGCAGTCAACCCAACCATCTCTTTCCTGTAATATCTCTGTGGCTCGATCATAGAAACTGAGTAAATTCGATACACAGGATCTTCCAGATCGAAAACCATACTGTCTGTCTGATATTATATCATTTCTCTCTAGGTGTTCTACCCATTTAGTTTTGATTTGTTTTTCCAATACTTTCACTATTACACTTGTCAATGATACAGGTCTATAATTGAGGGGGTCTTCCCTGCTGCCACTTTTGTAGATTGGAACTATGTTAGCCTGTTTCCACCTGTCTGCTACGATTCCTGTACACAGGGATGCCTGAAAGATCAGGTGAAGTGGAATGCTGAGCTCAGATGCACATTCTCTCAGAACCCATGGTGAAACGCCATCTGGGCCAGCTGCTTTGTTCTTACCGAGCTCCTTGAGCATTTTTTCCACTTCGTCTCTAGACACCTCTATGTGTTCTATGTTGTTCTCTGGAATTCTTATTGTATCTGGTTCCCTAAAGATTTCATTTTGTACAAACACACTTTGGAACTTTTCGTTTAGTGTTTCACACATTTCCTTTTCATCTTCCGTGAATCTATTTCCCATTTTCAACCTCTGAATATTATCCTTTACCTGCAATTTGTTGTTTATGAATTTATAGAATAGACCTGGTTCTGTTTTACATTTGTCCGCAATCCCTTTTTCAAAATTTCTTTCTGCCTCTCTCCTCACTGCCGTGTAGTTGTTTCTCGCATCTTTGTATCGCTGGTATGTTTGGGGGTTCGGCCTCTTCCTGTATTGATTCCATTTTTGTGTCTTTCGGTCTCTAGCCCTCTCGCAATTTCTATTGAACCAATCCTGTTTCCTAGTTCTGCATCTCTGTTTTGGTATAAATTTTTTTGTGCCTTTATCATATATTTCACAAAACTTGCCATACATCTCATTCACTTCCTTGCCTAGCATCAAGTCTGTCCAATTATACTCACTAAAAAAATTTCTAAGGTCACCATAATGTCCTCTCCTGAAGTCTGGTTTTTCAACTGCTTCAACCTCCTTATTTTCTTCCAGCTTATAACGCATTGCATACTTTATTCCCAAAAAGACATGGTCACTTTTACCCAAGGGAGGAAGGTACTGAATGTCAAATATCTCTTCCTCCTTCCTGGTAAATATCAAATCTAGCATGGAGGGAACGTCCCCTTCCCTCATCCTCGTAGCTTGTTTAACATGTTGATACAAGAATGTTTCCAGGATGAGGTCTACAAATTTACAGGTCCAAAAATCTTCTGTTTTAGCTTCATATGCTTCCCAGTCTATGGATTTCAAGTTGAAGTCACCGACTATCAACAGTTTTGATCTATTGTTATCCGCTCTCGCTATAATCTCTCTCATTATTGTTATAAGACCTTCACGTTTACTATCTAGCTCCTCCTTTGACCATGTGCTGCTTGGCGGTGGACTATATGCATTTATCATTAGTTTATCATCCTCATGGCAGATCTCTAGTGCTATTATGTCAACTTCTTGTGGATTGGTAGTCATTATTTCGTTCACCTTTAGGTGTTCTTTTACCAGCACAGCAACGCCACCGCCTTTCCTAATTTTTCTGTCCCGTCTTCAAATTGAGTAGCCCCTTGGGAATATGACCTCATTTAAAATTACATCTTCAAGTTTTGTCTCCGTGAGTGCAACAATGTCTGGTGTCTGCAGGTGTATTACATCACTTAACTCCAGTATCTTCGATCTCACTCCATCTATGTTGGTGTATGCAATCTTCAGGAACTCGTTCCCCCTCTCCTTATTCTTCACTCCCCCTCTCTCTATTGATTTTGTTGGTTTGCCTTTATGTACCACTTTACTGGTTTGCCTACCCCTATCACTTTGTAGAAAAAGGAATTTATTTCTTCTTCATTCCTGCTCTCATTTAAATGTTTTGCCTCGGCGAGGTTCAGCTTCAGCTTCTCTCTATCTTCTTTTGAAAGATCTCGTCTTAACGACCACCCCTTCCCATCCTTATCACTTTGCAATTTTCTAGCATTCCTTAGTACTTCTTCCATCTGTTTGGCACCGTTTAGGGTGATCCTCAAAGGTCGATCTTTCCCTTTTACGTACCTGCCTATTCTCCTGTAGTCGCACACATTCTCTATGGTTGTAAGACCTTCTACGAGGCCAACAATTTTATCTACTACTTTAGCTTCTTCTACAGCTCTTTCTGACCTAGATGTTATCGCCTTTTCTTTGCAACCAAAAATGATCAGGGACTTACTCTGATCAACTGTGTTTTGCACCAACTTCGGGTTTGATGCCAATTCTTTTCTCACTTCCAGCCTAATGTTTGTTTTATCTTGGTTGCTGCAGTGTTTGACTTCCTTTACTGCTTCTTCAATTTTTTCCTTCTCCTTGGCCACTTGTGCATAAGTGAGTTGCATATCTTTCTTGCACTGTTCTATTCCCCGTGTAACTTCCTCCATCTGTGCTGACAAAAGCTGTTTCTCCTGTTGAATTTCCTTGCCTAACCTATTGTAGTCATTTATGTTTAAATTTACTTTAACTTCTTCCAAAGCTATTTTTAAGAGTTTATTTTCTTCTTCCATGGCTTTGCAATTTGTTTCCAATTGATTCTTATCCTTGCGCAAGTCTTTCACTAAACCCTCAAGACATAAAACTTTGCTATTCAAATGGTCATTACTTTCTTTCAATTTACTAATTATTTCTGCATGAGAGTTCACTATAGTATCTAAATTTACCAACTTGTTGTGTAGACTGCTAATATCAATGCTTTCTTCATTGAATCCCTCAAAATCAAGCTCTCTTTTGTTTTTCCCCTTGCCAGTGGCCATCTTGAATGTTCTTCTCTGCACTGTAAACACTAGGGCAACTTTTTCTCATCCGATTTTTCACTTCCCTTAGCACATTCCTGTTATCTCACCTATTTTTCAAGAGCACTATACCTTTATGTTCTCTGGGACACCACTCACTATCATTATCCTGTACTACAATACTTAGGATTGTTGAAATATGCTGGAGCTCCTCTGCTGCAAGTGTTGACCCTAGGGGTGTCACCTTTTTGATCCAAGTGAGTGTGTGTGTGTGTGTGTGTGTGTGTGTGTGTGTGTGTGTGAGTGTGAGTGTGTGAGTGTGTGAGTGAGTGAGTGAGTGAGTGAGTGAGTGAGTGTGTGTGTGTGTGAGAGAAGTTGGGGCGTAAGGTGTGGGAACACCCTGCCCTTCGACTCCAAGTACTTGTGGGTCATACAAAAAAATTGTGACTGGCTTATGTACTTCGGTACTCCAGACTTCCTGTGATTTCAGTAAGAATCCAGTTGTATGACTTTTACATGTCTCGGTGGTCTAGTGGTAGAGTATTGGGCTCAGCAATGCTATGGTTGTTAGTTTGCGCCGACTTTTAGCCCTCGTGGATTTCCTATTGTTTGTTCTTCATATTTAATACTAAAGATAACATCATTAACTATTGTGGTCGGTAATAAAAGAGACGGAGTAAGTTGTGTTAAAATTGTCGAGGCTGTTCAGGAGCATTACAAGCATAGATAGGAATACACTGACAAGCACTTTGCAGCAATTTTAAAGTTCTTGTGTTTTATTTACTTGTGGAATGACAAAATATAACCGATCTAATCTGAATTTCCATTTGTGCTGAATGTGTGGCATGAAAATGGAAGTAGCCAGAAGTATTTGTTAGTCTGTTATTCTACTTCTTGCATTGTTCATTATGTTTTTAATAACAACCATTGTTCCTTCAGTGGTATCAAAGGATGGGAGATACCAGTTCTGGTCCCATCTGACCCCTGCAAAACTTCAGAAATTAAAGTTCAGCACAAACTTCGTCACCTGATTCTCACGGCAGAGACTCACAACTTTCCTACTGGTGTAGCACCTTTCAGGTAATTATGAAGGTAGAACTTGGATTAATTAGTTTTTTATATATATATTTACTATAGTCTTCCAAATTACTGAGTATGTTACGTTTTGGTAGTTAGTGGCGCAGGGCCTGAATTACCAAGGGAATCTCTACCTGTGTCAGATAGGAAACAAGTTTCTTACAATTGTGACATGGATAATTGTCTATATGATTACATTTAGAAGTCACATTTCATGTGCAAAATCCACAAAAATTCACAACTTCTTGGTGGTGGTAATTAAAGTTTTGTTGTAACTAATTGACGAAGAGGATAATGTTACTCAGCAGTATGATAAATTGTTCTGCTTCTGTACATAATATTTTCATCTTAAGCCAAGCAAAATCTGAGGTGCTTGACCTTGTTGACCTAATACTGTTTCTCAGTGGAGCCACAACAGGCACTGGAGGTCGCATTCGTGACATCCAGGCAGCGGGTCGGGGAGGGCACGTGGTGGCTGGTACAGCTGGCTACTGTTTCGGCAATCTTCACATTCCTGGTGGGTTTAGTTTATGAAACTCTGAATAACAGAAGTATACTTTCACATTTTTTGGTTTACAGATTGATTGAGCAATATTAGCATCCTTAGTGGGCTTATTCTTGATGTCATATTTTTGGGTACGAGGAATATTGAATGATTTGGCATAACATTCAGGTATGCCTGAATGTTATGCCCAATGTCTTATAAGTGTACAAGAGATATGCTTTATATCAGAGGTAGAGCTCTGAATGACTTGAAACAGTCTTGCTTGGAAGACTGGACAGAAGTGGCTATATAGCATTTGTTCTTTGTAGGGGTTGAAGGCTGAAAAAAGCTTTTCTCTCTGGGCTCTTTCAAGCAAGTTGTTCATGTAAAGGAATAGTTTGGTTAGGTATAATTAGGAAATGCCTTGTATGGGCCAATATGCCTTATGCAGTTTCATTTATACTTGTGTTCCTATGCTTAAGGTGTGTATTTGTGAACTGCACAAGAGACTTTCAGCAGGTATAATGTACATGGATCTCTCCTAAAACTTTTGACAATGTGCCACACGAGACTAGCACAGAAATTGCAAGTACATGAAATAAATGACAAAACACTAGAATGGGCAAGTGTTAAAACAAGACACAATGGTTGGTCCTAAATGGAAATGAATCTGATTGGAAAAAATGTTGCATGGCGTATCTTTTGGCCAATAATTTTTTTTTTCTTTAACAAATGCCAAATGAGAATATTAAACCACAAATTCCTCGGGGTCTGCCTCTGCTAGGCCGTATTACTGCTTGATTTACGGCTGCTCTTTGGGTGCTTAGGGGTTCTGTCTTCCTGGTTTACCTTGGGGTAAGAGGCAGTTTGCAGTGGTGGGGCGCAGGGTACGGTGCAACTTTTTTTCACCATTTACAGTGGTCGGCTCTGTTCCTTGGGGGTACGTTGTCCTCTTGCGGGGGTTTTGTTTTTGTTTGTCTTGTACGGGGGTCTGCCTTGCTTGCCCCTTTTTTGTGCTTGATCTGTGCGCGGTTCTCTTCGGGTGGTGCCCCCTGCTAGGTCCCCGTGAGTGTACACATACCTGGGGTTCAGCTCTAGACAGTTGTTTAGTAGTTTTGGGTTTTTGGTTAGTTTTGGTTGGGTTTTTAGTTAGTTTTGGTACTGGCTAGCAGTACCCTGCCTGGGATTACCTGGGAGTGAGCTACCATTAAGCGCTCAGGACCCTGGGAATCCCCTAAGGGACGCATGGGTTCGTTGGATGTGACCCCGAAGTCCCCCCCTCGCTTTGTACGAGTTAGAGGGTTGCTCTGTCCCCTTGTCACAAGATGACTCTCATTGTCTTTGCCTCCGTCTGCTGCCTGTGGGGTCGATGGCACCTTCGACCCCGGAGTCCTTCAAGTTTTGTTGCTTGTTTGCGACTTGGTTACCCAGTCTTAAGCGGACTATGCAGGTACACGCAGCACAGGCGTTGCATGTTAAGTTCGCTGGTGCAATGCGCCAGGTAGTTTTCTCCCCGGAAGCCCCGAGGCTGCCCCATTTTGGTTGGTGTGACAGGGCTTGGGGGTGTTTGTCGCTTCAGTTTTGTTTCCTTCTGCGCCCCCTGGTTTTCCCTGTGGTGGTCTTGAGACTCGGGCAGTCTGGAGGACTGCCCGAGGTTGGCAGTCTTCTGGGATTGTGACAGAGGCATTCGAGCCTGTTCCTCCAGCCGTGTTGTAAGAGTCTGCCAGTGGGCTCCCTTCCTTAGTACTTGTCCGGTTGCCCGGGCTTTTCTTGTGAGGCTGGGGCTTTGGGGGAATGGCTCAGCCCGGGACCTGCCTTGTGGGTTCCAGGGCTGGTAAGGGGCTGACGATTGAACCCCGCCTGGGTTTTTCTACCCTCTGGGTGGGGCTTGAGTTTACAAGGAGTGGGCTTTTTTCTTCCCTGCCCCCCTCTCCGTACATGTTTTTGGGAGTCGACCCCTCCCTGGGATCGGTTCCTTGTTCCTTGGATCCGTCGGGTCGGTCCTGTTGGTGGGTACATTTCTCCACCCTTCTTGGGATGGGCCTTCATGGACATGTTCCCCTCTTCTTGGGGTTCTGCATGACTTTTGGTCTCGAGTACGACTTTGCCTTCTGTGCCTTCGTGCTTTATGCTTCCTTCTTTGTTTTAGAAGGATCAGGAAGGTTTTGCTTCTCGTATTCTTGGAACGTCTGTCATCTTCTGGTCCTTTCTGGGGCTTGTTGGTCCTTCTCCGGGCTTCTCGGGTTTCGGTCCCGTTTCGTTCTTTCGTGTTTCTTTTCTCCGTGCACTGTCCTACACTGCACAGGGTTGCCAGATTAGGCTTCTTGTAGCATGATTGGGCTCTTTGTAGCCCAAATGGGAACCTGTGCTATGTTTAAGCTCCTTCCTGCTCTTTTCGACTACAGTTGGCGGCTGCCCTGTGTACTCTCATATGGGATTCGGTGGTTAACAACACTATTTTGTCTAGTTTTCTAGTTGCATTTGTGGTTTTTTCTTCAGCTCGCGACTTCTGGCAACTCACGTCTGGCATCCCTGCTGTGCATGGGCCGTGGTGGTTTTTGATATGGGCGGTGTGCACATGTGCTGGGGATTTGCGTCCCTTTTCTGTGGGAAGCCCCTACGGCTCCCTGGAGCTTATCGGGCTAATGTATGTTATATTAGACCGGGATATTAGCTAAGGAGTTCAGACCTACCAGGGACCAGTGCCAGAACCTGGCCCCTTCAGAGAGGTTTCAGGGAGCAATGGCACTGGAAAACCCCCTTGTGGTTGAGGTTTTCCTTATCTGCCATCGACCGGGGTCAGGCACCCAGAAAGGTAGGCATAACAAAACAAACCCCACATTGTAAAAAACTAAAACAAAAAAAACGAACAGAGAGGTAGAAACTCCCTACATTCCCAAGGAAGCACGCAAACAAGCAAACATCACACCTTACTGCCGCGCCTATCATCCACGCAGCCCTCCCCGCCCTGAGAGGGGGAGGGGGAGCCCCGGACCTACTGCGCCAGCTGCCAAGCTTCAGTTCGTAAGCTAATGTCAACCGGGATAGACGCTTCTCTGGCCTCAGTTTCCTAAGCGGTGTTTGCCTTGTGTGGCGTTCACTGCCGTGTGTTGTGTTGTGCGGTGGCCAGGAGTACCTCATCAGTGCCGGGGCTGCATGCGCTTAGTGGATGACTTCCCTAAGCGCCCTGTGAGTACTGCTCTTGCGTAACAGAGTTATCTTCCCTGGGGTGCTCGGGAACCATTCCCGTAGAAGTTCTTGCTGCTCGGCATTTGCCTTGCCCTTGGGGCCAGCTGGAGCTTGGGGCCCTTGTTTGGCCCTGGGTAGGGACTGGTATTGTGCTGGTTAGGGCGTCAAGGTGTTGCGCGACCTGCCACCTAAGCGGCGACCGGTTTCTGTTGCCTCTGGAGACGGTGTACTTTTGCGGGTTTTTTCTATTGCTTTTATTTTCAATTGCCTGGTGGGGGTCTGCCCGGTGTAGCTATAGTTCCACTGGTAGTGTTTGGCGGCCCTCTGCTAGGCCCCCTTGATTGTACACGTCTCAGGGGTTTTCAGTGCTATCCCTAACGGTTTAGCAACACCTTGCCCATTCTTCCCGTAGCAGTCAGCCTACGGGCCCTGGAAACCCCTGTCTGGGCTCGGGGGACCATTGAATGTGTCTTCCGGGTTCCAACCCATCTTGTACGGGATCGTTGGTTGCTGTGCCCTTGTCTCTAGGTGACAGTCGCCACTTTTACCTCTGTCATGCTGCCTATTGGGTCACTGACACCTTGACCCAGAGTCTTGCAAGAGATTTTCTCTGCTTGTTCTCCAGTACTCTCCTGATGTTCTTACTGTTCAGAGTACAGGCAGCATCCATGTTGCAAGCTAGGTTAGGTTGCTGCAGCATGCTAGGTTGGTTTCCCCACTCGGATGCCCCGAGGCCGACCCGTTTTGGTTAGGTGCTGTTGGCCCTTTCCCTCTCTGTTCCCGGCTCCAAACCGTCTGCAGGTTTCGGGGTCGGGGCGGGGGTTTAGTTGGGGCTGAGACTTGGGCAGTTTTTGGGGGCTGCTCTGTTCGGGTTGGGGGATGGAGGTTTTTCGAGCCGGTTCCTCCTGCCAAGGCTTCTGGGTCTTACCAGTGGCCCTTTCTTGCTGCTTTTCCCATGGACTCTTGCTTTTCTTTAAGGGCGGAGGGCTTGGAGGACGGCTCTGCCTCGGGGCCTCTGTTGCTGGTTCCCGGGGCTGTGGGGGATGCCTGCTAGCAGTTCTGGGGCAGTTTGCCCCTGCCTGGGTTTTCCGCTTTTGGGCGGCGTTTTTTGCCCATCCAGTCTGCTTGCTTCCCACTTTTGCTGGCGTGTTTTTGTATCTATAGCATCAGTCACAGCCCCTGTTCTGGTGGCCATTTCGTCTGCTGGTTTCCCGGCGTGGCCACCAGGGCGGCGTTGCGGTTTGTTTACATGCGACTGGGTGTGCGAGCGAGCTTCTTGGGTGAGTTTTCACCTTTTTTCAGGGGTTTTATTCTCATGTTGTCGTTTCTTTGCTTTTCTGGTGTTTTCTGCCCGTTTCCTGTTCTTCTGGGAATGTTTGAGTGTTGATTTTACACCGGTTTTCCCAATTTTGTCTGTTTTGGGTCTGGGCCTTTGGGTTTGGGCTCAGTGTCCTTGGCTGTTATGCTTGCTCCCACACCTTGTCCCTCGGTTTTTGGTCTGTTATGACCGTTACCCTGGGGGTTCTGTCTGGGGGCTGTGCTTTGCCTTATTGTGGTGTTTCTCCGCCGGCAAAATGTGGTGGTTTGGCCTCCCCCTGGTTCGATTCCGGGTTCCTTGGGTTCTTTGGTTTTGTTCTGGAGGTTTCTTCCTCTTGGGGCCCCCTTTGTGGGTTCTGGGGGCTTTGTTTCCTCGTGTGTGGCCCGGTTTCTGCCTTCTGGAGTTCCAGGGTCTTCCTGGCTTGCAGACTAATCTTTTTGGGTCTTGGCACGTGTTGTGGTCGTGCTGGGACTTTGAGGTTTTCTTGAGGTGGGCCTTTAGATGCAGTTTTGTGCCTTTTTTTGGC